GGGCTGGGGGAGATTAAGCACTGTTCCAACATCAAGCCAGCAGGGGAGCGGGACTGTGAGGCAACTCTGAGGGTCTGAGGGAAGTTTCCTGTAGTGCAGGAGGAGGAAACATCCGGCCTGCAGAGGCATTAAGAAGGGCTAATGTGTCCCAGGAGGGAACAGATGTCACCACCATGAGCCTCTAAATATGGGCACAGTGGGATCCCAGCAAAGCAGTGACTCTGAGGAGGAGGTGTTCTACCCGCAACACAGTACGTCTGTTAAGGTTGAGCCATCACACATGGAGCACCGATGTGACTGACCTCCAGTCGTGTTTTTACAACAGGTGAAAAACAAAATGCATGGGTTAGTTTTGGTCACTTCAAACACATTCTCCTAGATTGTGTGAAGGTTCCTCAAGAGCTTTTCATGGCACCCCTCTCATAAAGAAATGTTGAAATCTGCCAAGGGATTCCTGAGTGTTGGTCATATTTCAGCACTTTGGGAATTGCCACTGTCCTAACGTATAATGATAATAACAATACTCGCGTGCATTAAGTACTTATTTATGCTAGTAATTTTTCCAAGTGCTGTGCATACATATATTAACTCATTTTGATTCTCCCAATAACCTAATGAGGTAGCTCGTATATTCATCCCTATTTTACTGATGAGGAAACTGAGGGATAGGGAGGTAAAGTAAACAACTAAGGTTGCTCTGCTAACCAAGTAGTGGAGCCAGGATTTGAATCCTAAGAGTCTGGCTTCAGAACCCTTGTGCCTAATCCTACACTACATTGTTGGGTGAATTAACTATTTGCTAAACAAATAATTTATCCCCGAGTCATGACTGTCACAGTGAGAACACATATAGCCATACCACTGACCAGTATGTCCAACACTTGCTTGATCCTAAGAATTACCCGGACATTTGCAAAGATATAGATTCCCGGACTCTAGCCCAGATCTACCCATCAAGCAAGCTTGGAAACCCTGATTTAGTGGAGTGAGCACCACCAGCCCTGAGCCTCAGGAAACCTGGGTTTTCATCCTGACTATGCCTCTGTTTCTGAGACTTTGGACAATATCACTTCTCAGTACCTTATTGCTCTATTGTCTGCCTCTCCCTGGAATGCTATAAGAATATATGAAATCTACCACAACCCCTATAAAGAAACTCTATTACTTAAAAAACAGATGGTAATATCCTTACAAAGTGATATGCATGTATTAACAAGTATATTAACGCATGCTTTTTTTTTCTTAGCTTGGCCTACCTTGAAGCCCAAACCTAAGCACCTCATCCAGACCTCCCCTCCAGCCTCTATCCCAGGTGACACGGATACACATCCCAAACCAGGCTTCATCTGACCGACATTAGCTATCTCCCTCTGGGAGCTCTGATCCGCTCTCTGCTCAGCCCAACAATGAGAAACTTTTTTCTCTTCTCCCTCAGGGGAATCTCCGCATTTATCCAATTCGTTCTCTTGCAACCCAACTCTCCAGAAAGAAAAGGGGGGGAAAATCCCACCCCTAAGAGACAGTCTTCAGGTCTGAGGATGTTACTTAGCAACGGCACAAAGACCAGTGAGCAAAGGGGGACCTGGGGAGAAAACTCTTGGGTGGGGAGACAGAGCCAGTTTGAAAACTCCATTTCATCCAGAGAAAAACAACAAGGAAAACACAAACAGAATCATTCCTGAGAACAGCTAAGTGGGGCTTCTCCGCACCACAGGTCATCTCCTTAGTCCCTGTATCTCAACTCCTTCAGTCCCCCCTCTTGCCCCCTCCAGTCCTCTCCCCCTGTGACTATGTCCTCCCCCTGGTTTAGCCCATGGCCCGGGGGCCCTCCCCTTGCCCTGGCCTGACCCACACAGGCTTGCACTCAGAGCTCCCCCCTCCTCCCTCCCCAGGCACCCACCGTTGTCAGACGCGCTGGGACCTTCGCAGTCCGAGATTAACTGTTGGGGTTTCCGCTGCTTTCGCCTAGACATTCCCGGGTAGAGAGAGGTGGGAGAAGGAGGGGTGACGCTCACTTAGTCTTAACCAGGGTGACCTGGTCTGGTCTCTCCCTTGGGTCTGAAGCCAACTGATGCCTCTCCCTCAGTCAAATCACTGTGAAGCAGAGATGTTCTCTCTTCCCAGAGATAGACAAACTCTCTCTCTCTCTCTCTCTGATTCACTGTCCCTGACTCTCTCTCTCTTTCTCTCTCTGATTCTCTGTCCCTGACTCTCTCTCTCTTTCTCTCTCAATCTCTGCAAGTCTTTAAAGGGGAGACGCCCCCTTTTTTTTCCCCTTCAGCTTCTTCCCTACGCTTCTGCAGCTCCCATTGTAAAAGCAAAAATCCTAATCTTTCCGCACACTCTTTTCTTTTGTACTGCAGAGGAAAGGATTTAACCCTCTCCTCCCTGCTGGGGCCCTGGGCCTCTCCCCATGCTGTCTGTTCATAAAATACCCACCACTTGTTTTTCTAACTCTTCTTCTAAGACATTCACAGTGCTTTTGATCCTTTCATGATTCTATACCACCTTGTTTGATGATGTGACTGCTTCTGGGCTATAGTTTGCAATAAGAACTTTCTGGTATATTCTTATAATAAGGCCAAGAAGTCAGCTATCTCTAGTTGAAAATGAGTGTATAAAAACTTGGCAAAAAAAAAAAAAAGACAGAGTAAAGATGAACAGTCAGTATAAAAACTTCATGTATGTAGAGCTCTTTATAATTTATAGAATATTCTCATGTACATGCCATTTTTTTAAAATATTACAACTCAGACATTAGCATGGCATGTTTTACCACTCCCATTTATAATGATCCTATTTATAGATGAACCAAAAGGCTCAGTGAGGTTAAGTAACCTATCCAAGATTGCACAGCTATGATGTAGCAGACATGGGCCTGGAAGCCAGGTGCACCTGACAGTCAGGCTAGCATTCACCGCTCCCCCACCCCAGTAATACTGTTAAAGGTACGCTATGTCAACAGACTCTTGGCATGAAAACAAAAGGGTTTGATGCCCAGCCGTGGAGTTCAGCAGTTAAGCATCGAGCCAGGAACCAAGAGGCCACTGGTTCAATCCCCGGTCAGGGCAGTCAGGGCACATGCCTGGGTTCCGGGCTTGATCCCCTGTGCGGGGGAGGGGAGTGCAGGAGGCAGCCAATTGATGATATTCCTCTCTCATCTCTCTATCCCTCTCCCTTCTCTCTCATCGATGTTTCCAACTCTCTATCTCTCTCCCTTCCTCTCTTTTAAGCAATAAAAATATATATTAAAAAAAAATAAAAATAAAAAAAATCAATGGAATATATTTTTTAAAAAGTGATCAATTTTAAGGAATCTCATTTAAAATAACAACCAGGATCAGTAGCTTTTCTGTCTCTCCCGTTCCTTGTCCAGCTTCTAGGGTTGAGGGGAGGCTCCCTCTGAGAAGATGATGTAGATGGATGGAAGCAACGAGGGGGTACTTTGAGCTCAATATAGAAGGAACTTTCTAACAGTGTCACAGATTATCCAGTGAATTTGTGAGCTCCCTGAAATCAGTTCTCACAGTGCTCACTTCAGCAGCACATATACTAAAACTGGAACGATACAGAGAAGATTAGCATGGCCCCTGTGCAAGGATGATGTGAAAATTCATGAAGCGTTCCATATTTAAAAATAATAATAATACGTTCTCACAGAGGCTGAAAACAATTGTCAAGGATTCTATGGGAAGAATGTCCTTTTGGATATGAAGTTTGACCTTTAAGAACATCCTCCATCTCTAAAATACGTCACTTGGTCACTAACCAGGTCTCTTCTGCTCAGCTGGTACACTTAAAGGTGATTTTTTTGTTGTTTTTTTTTTTTGTTCTTTAACTTGTGGCCATGCTATTCCTACCTGAATGTGAGTAATACTGTGCTACTGGGCATAGCATGTCCAGATATGCCCTACGTTCTAGCTACAATGTCTAGGTCTTTTTCTTTCGACCTTATTTACCCTTTGCTCTTCTGGCTGAGATGAGGAGCATCTGAAACACCACGATCACTTAGCAAAGTGGGAATTACTTTTCTCTTTGAAGTTTAATGATGTAAATCTGTGATGGCTACATCTTCAGAGAAAAGCACAGCATAGCTCACTCACAGTGTTGGGTGCAAACTTGAGGTTTCTTTCATTTCTTTCCTTACACAAGTCCAGGCTAGTCTGGCAATACAAAAAAGGGAGACAGAGAGACAACAGATGGTAGGAGCATTGCTGGTGATAAATGGAGCAGGTACCCACATATGAAGCGATTTGGGAAGCACTCTGATCTTTGCTTTGGAGTTCACTGAATCTCCATTATTTTCCCAGTCCTTTGGGGTCAGGACCCTGGGTGCCTCCCTCACATTCCACCCTTGGAACTCTTGCCGACATTGTCGTTTTCATCCAGCTAACTCCCCTGTGGTAAGCAGGTGCAGTTATCACAAGGCTGTAATTGTAGGAAAAATGGGAACACTGAGGCCAGGCAAGCTTCTAATTTCTCAGTGGAATTAACTGTCACTCTCTCATCCCACTTTTCCCATCATTTACTTCCCTTTTGAGAAATAGAAGGGAGAGAAGAAATATCGCTTTTTGTTTTTGTCAGGAGTCTATGAAATCTCCAAGGGTAGATTTGATAGTTCAATATTGGTCCCTTTCCTGGGTCTGGTCTGACTTGTCTTTTCTTATTTTTTTTCCATCCTCTTTGCTGGCCTTATTGTGAAAGGAAGGGCTCTCTCCCTTCCTCTCCTTTCTTCTGCCCTCCCCCATTTACCATTTTTTTCCTTTTACCTCTTTCCACTGTGGCCTTTTGACCTCTCCACAGAGTTACAAAAGTAAAATCCTTGAAGAGATGCTGCTGTGGGAATGTTAATGAGCCTTCCCCACAAAGGGGCAAAGACTTTACTTCACTGAGTTGGAAAAAAGCCCCTTTGAAAAGGGGTTTCTGTGTGTGGTGAAGTGGAGAGGGGAGGGGAAGGAGAGAGGGAGGGTGAGGGAGAAAAGAAGGGAGGGAGAGAAAGAGGAGAGAATGAAAGAGGTAGAGGGAGGAAGAAAGGAAGGGAGGTAGACAGAGAGAGACACACACACAAAGAGAGAGACACAGAGAGAGACAGAGAGAGAAACTTAATAGTAGAAGAGAATATTAAAGCAACACTCTACTTGTTTCAACTGGTGATTTAATTTTTGGAAAATGTTCCATGGTCTTTCGACCTTGTAAATGAAGCACTTTCATTCTTAAGAAGGTGAAGAGGCTCTCAAGGACATTGAAGGTGAAGAGGCACTCAAAGGATAGGAAAAAGGGACCTATCCTAGCACCCTACCCCCAGTTCCTTCCCACATGTGGGAACCCAAGAGGGTCTAGGGCAGGGGTGGGCAACCTTTTTGTGAGTGCGTGCCAAAACCAGCAAAATCTCTGACTCAAAATTCTTCTGCGTGCCAACCCTAATTTTTTGAGAACATGTTACGCCTACTTGATATCTCTTAAGGTGTACGTATGTGAAGAACCTTGAAGAAATAATAAAATTCATTCGAGCGACAAAAACACAGTATATGATGATGAAAAATACATTTATTTTTTAATGTATACATGTACACTGATAGTCCGACAGAAAACTTTATGACTCCGTTTGATATTATCAGTGGGACTTTTGCTGCTGCATCACTGATGACAGAGATTTTACATCAGGTTTATATTTCGTGACCTTCAGAGATATGCACGAGCTACTACTTTCATCCGTCAGGCTACTCCTATTATGAGACTTAACAAAATTCATCACTGAGAACAAAGATTCACAAGCGTATGTGGATGAAACCAAAACACTGGTCGGATCTAGGAAGGCAGGGAGAGTTAAGGCAGAGGCATAGAAATTGCTCTTCCCCTCTCTCGTCAATCCATGTCTATGGTCTTTAAGATAACTTGTTATGTAAAATTATTTATTTATCTAAGATGCACCTACACTGAATTTATCTGAAAAATAAAAAAGTCGATATTAAGGAAAAAATTGTAAATGGGAGATTATAAGAGAGGGTTTCACGTGCCAGCAAAAGTTACTGGTGTGCCATGTTTGGCACGCGTGCCAGGGGTTGCCCACTCCTGCTCTAGGGAAAATATTCTGGGTCGGGGGAGCTGGTGGTAAAGATGAGCTCTTTCTTCTGGCTCTGTGGTTCCTTCTTATGCTTTCTAATTTTATCAACAATTTTTATCTTGGCTTCCATATTGGCTATTGGCCTAATAATTTTTTTCTTTCTTCAGGAATGGCTTAAAGTACTGTTGTGATGTTTACATCTTGGAGCCAATTTTCAAGCCAGACCACTTACACATAATCTCTGTATCCTTCATTAGTGAGTACAATTTGCCTCTAAATTAGTTAAAATGGATGTTAGCGTATTTCCAATGTCAAGATTAAGTCTTTAAAAAAGCAAAGATATGTTGTTGCTCTTTAAAAGAAAGCCAGTCACTATGTTTGACTTTTAGAGAGTTTCCTGCACATTGTTTTGTGATGTCAGCACAACACTCCAATTAAAGAAGCCTAGAATTGTGAGGAACAAAGAGAAGGTGATTGGAATGAGATCCTTGGAAGAGAGAAATGAGGAGCAGGTCTGGAATGCTAATTCTCAGAGCTCTATACACTCCTCTGGATTCACGGTAAACACATGGAGAATTTATCACATTCCTGGCCTCTATCCCAAATCTATTTAATCAGAGTCTCTGGGGGTGGGCCACTAAGATTTTTAAACAAGCTCTCAAATGATTCTTTTGCAGAGTTAAGTTTGAGGCAGTTGCACTTGACTGGTGGTTTCTAAACCAGGGGCTCTAGATTCCTTGGGGACTGCAGCGGTTACAAGGAAATCCAAATACACGTAAAAGGGCCTGGTAATGCCGAAACCGGTTTGGCTCAGTGGATAGAGCGTCGGCCTGCGGACTGAAGGGTCCCAGGTTCGATTCCGGTCAAGGGCATGTACCTGGGTTGCGGGCACATTCCCGGTGGGGGGTGTGCAGGAGGCAGCTGATCGATGTTTCTCTCTCATCGATGTTTCTAACTCTCTATCCGTCTCCCTTCCTCTCTGTAAAAAATCAATAAAATATATTTAAAAAAAAAGGGCCTGGTAAAAGATCCAAATATATAATATGCCCTTCAAATGTATATGTATATACTACTCTTGGCCAA